GTCAAGAAAAGTAATATTTTTATTAATCTTGAAAAGTATCCTTTTTATATAAGGAAAAACACTTCAGTGTGGCTTTTTTCTTAGAGCAATTTCATTGGTTAAAAATATTTTTCAGATATATTTGGGATAGTGTAGAAAAACACAGCAAAATGACTATTTTTCAAGACTTCAAAGGCTGATACTTTAAACTGCTTAAAGTAAGTTAGTTTTTCAATCTTGACACTGCATTCAGAATGAATACAATATACAACTAGTGCTGTAGCAATCCAGGCAGCCACAAATACAGAGTTCTGCTTGAGATGCTAGAAGTCAAGTTCTAAGTGTAGAAAAGAGAAACAGTTTATAGGGGCTGAGTATAAATGGAAATACTGTTTTGTGTGTAAATTTCTGGATTTCTAATTGAGGGAAAATCACTTTTCTGGCATAAGAATTAATAATTTTCTTTAATTTGGGATTATAATTTTTATAGTATAATAGATTCATAAGTTTAAAAGAACCATAAAGTTCAGTTCAGTTCAGTTCTCTACTACAATCTTAAATCTCCTGTAAACTGTCTCCATCAAAGATCAACCAGTCTGTATGTGAATAGCAGCAAAGCACAGTGGTTAGAGAGCCAGCTATGACATCAGATAGTGTGGGTTGGTGTCCTGGATTTCCTATTTACCACTTGCATAAACTTGGTCAAATTTCTTAAGTTCTTTGTACTTCAGTTTTCTCATCTGCAAATTTGGGCTAGATAAAGCACCTAGAACAATGTCTGGCACATACTAGATGCTCAATAACAGTTATCTCTTTCTATTATTTTATTCTTGTATTATTACATATGTCTTCCAGGGAAATTCAGTTCTGCCTAGAAAGAGAAGAGGTTGGTTTTTCTGTTGTTGTTGTTTTGTTTCATTTTTGTTTTTAGTAATGATAGGAGCTTACTTCTGGTGATAGTACAATAGCTTTTACTAAACTACCCTCTCCCAATATTGATTTTGAACTCTGGATCAAAAAACAGTGCAAACAATTAAAAAATCAGAATTAAAACAATTCTTTAAAACCCCTGAAGAATGACTGAGAATAAGCAGAAACTGGGGGGGGGGCATGATCCCTGAAATAGGGAAACAAACTAGGTGAGATACACATTAAATGGCTTTTTCTGAGAGCACTCCTCTTGCAAAGTACATAAAGGAAATAGTTCAATCAGAAAAGGCTCATCAATTGGACTGAGAATTCATAAGTCAAATTTTAGGCTGTCAGAATTGCTGGAAATCAAGGAGAGATATTCCAGGAAAAAGGAAGACAGTGTGGAGAGCCCTAAAATATGTATGTGAATTCTCCTGAAATTGTTTGACTATTAGACTGCATATGCACATGATGAGACTCCAGGGAATCCAGTGGAAAGCAACAGCAAGAAGGCTGAAAAACTGAGGGAGATTTTAGCAGATACTTGGTGCTGGAGTGACAGATTTTGGCATTCAAGTCCAGTCAAGGAAAAGAAGCTTCACTCAAGTCTTTGTGCTTTTCATTGAAACCCCAGGAGAGTAATACCTTAAGAAGTATCCCAGGACCAAGGACTACAACAGAGGCCTAAGGACAAGACAAAAAGAAGCCGACCTTATCAAACTTCCACAAGATGAAGGTGATTTGTCAGTAATCTAACTGTATGCTAGAAAAAAACTCAACACTCTTCAAAGAATGATAACATATTTCTCACAACATATTGCCCACAATGTACAGTGTATAATAAAAAAAATTATATATACAAAGAAGCAGGAAAATGTGACCCACAATCAAAGGGAAAAACAGTTAAAAAAAATCCCCAGAGGTCCCAGATGTTAGAATTAGCAGATGAAGATTTAAAATAACTGTAATATATATTTAAAATAATGTATTGGAAGAGATTGATATAATGGTTGAGGAGATGGGGACTATCAGGAGAGATATGAAAATGAAAAAAGAACCAAATGGAAATCCTGGAACTGAAAAATATAGCTGAAAAAAATTTTCTTCAGTGAACTTAACAACAAATTAGGCACCACAGAAGAAGAAAAAAAAAAAAAACACAAACTAGTGGACAAATCAATAGAAATTATCCAACTGAGTACAGGCAGAAAAATGATTTTTAAAATTTGCAGAGCTGTAGTGGCTTATGTGACAATACCAAGTGTTCTAACATATGTCAAATTGAAGTCCCAGAAAGGAAAAAGAGAGTAAATGAGACAAAAATATTTTTTAAAAATGGTGGCAAAATTTTTTCCAAATTTGGTTTAAAATATAACCCCCCTCAGGTTTAGGAAGTTTAATGATCTCCACACAGGATAAATAAAAAGACAACTATACCCAAGCAAATCATAGTCAAACTTCTAAAAACTAAAGATAAGGAAAAAAATCTTAATCCAGAAGAAAAAGACACATTACAAAATACTAAAGGAAAGGAACAGTAAAAACACTGACTTCTCAGCAGAAGTATTGGAGGCCAAAAGATAATGGATTGACATTTTAAAAGTGCTGAAAGAAAAGGAAACAAGTTAGCCTAGAAATCTAGATAACTTACATTAGGCTTACATTTAGCTAAATCACTAATTACATTAAATGTAAATGGACCAAAACTTTCTATTAAAATCAGAGATTGTATGCATTTTAAATAAAAAACACTGACAGGTAGAAAATAAAAGGATGGAGAAATGGATACCATACAAGCACTGAACATAAGAAAGCTAGTATAGCTATATTAATATTAAAGTAGATTTTAAAACATGGATGCTGCCAAAGGTAAAATTTTAAAAAATTCATAATGATGAAAGCATTAATTTGTTGATAACATAACAATCTTCAGTGTGTTTGCATCTAATGATAAGAAATGTTTATTTTCTAAACATCTGGTATAATAATTTCCTCTGAAGAGAGAGTTGCCTTGATTAGGAAGATGGTTTGATAAGTCTAGTGGTCTCTGTGAACCATATAGATGTGGACTAGCTTTGATGCTCCAGAGAAGCAGTTAAAGCTACTTGAGACAAGGAGATAGGGTCATCAATCTTCCCAGTTTGCCCAGAATTGAGCTGTTCCTTGGGACCTTGGACTTTCAGTGCAAAATCTAGGACTATCCCAAAACTGAAACAGTTTCAGCAACTGGGACAGTTATTTATTCTGCAAAGAGTGGAATTAATTTGCTTTGGAAATGAAGGAGTGAGAGAGTAAAGAGAGAAGAAGAACAGAATGTATAGCCATGAGATGGCAGGAGGTTGTACAGTGGACCCTTTCAATGATCCCTCAAACATTAAGAAATATTACTAGACTCACAAAATTACAGTTGTAAAGTGTGTGTGTGTGTGTGTGTGTGTGTGTGTGTGTATTTGGAAAGCTAGTGATGAGGTACAATGTTGAAAAATAGATATCATCCATTATAGTATTTGTGAGGCAAGGACCTTTAGAACATAAGTCTGTGGGAAATTGTAGAAATATGGAATGGTAGATTCCATAGTCAAGTTTGGGTATATTGAGGGCAAAAAGGACTGAGATTACATCTGGATCTTCTAACTGTATTAGTTGAGAATATGTTAGGTTTGGATAATAGAAAATCTACCTACAACTGGATTCCACAATAAAACGAATTTATTTACTCATGTAAATGAAATATCCTGAGGTAGGGAGGGCTTCAGGCTTGATTCAGTACACAGGTTCATGATCATATTTGGGCTCTGATCCATTTCTCAGCAGATACCTCAGCAGCCCTCTTCCTTGTGACAATTCATCTCCAGGGTGGTTTACCTCATGGTAGCAACAATGGCTATAATAGTTCCAGGACTAACATTCTCACATAACACCATGGGTGAGCACACTTTTTCTGTAAAGGGCCAGATACTAAATATTTTAGGCTTTGCATCTCTGTTATAACTAGTAAACTCTGCCACTTTAGTAGAAAGTAGTCATAGACAATATGTAAACAAAAAGCAGGGCTGTATTCCAATAGAACTTTGTTTATCAATTTGAATTTCATATAATTTTCATGTGCCATGAAATATTCTTCTTCTTTGGGTGTTGTCCCCCCAATCATTTAAAATGTAAAACATTCCTAGCTTAAGAACTGAACAAAAACAACTGGTGGGCCAAATTTGACCTGTGGGCTGTAGTTTGCTGACCCCAACTTAAAACATTGGTTAGAGTTTTAAGCCAAAAATTTCCTCCTCTTTCCTAGCATATATTTCCTTTTCTCTCCTCCATACTCTTAGTTAAGAAGACCCCATTCAGTATCACTTACATGCCAAAATCCTCCAAAGTTTTATTTCCAACCCAGATTGTTCCCCTATCTCCACACTTCTGTAGCTACCTGCATACTTGACATCTCCAATTAGAGGTTTAATAGCATTTTAAACTTAACATAATCAAAACAAGCTGGGGGACTCTGCTTCCTTAAGATGGATTCAGCTCTAAGCAGCAGGCAGAGACACGTTGGCATTCCCGTGGAATTTATCCCTATGCCACAGGATGATGCTTCAGCGTTCCTTACACTTCTAACATAAGTATGGTGTGTCAAAAGACAAAATCACAACAGTTTTATTTATAGATCTAATTGGCTTTTATTCATGATTCATGAATCGGGGCAGCCTCCATTCTACAAAATAGAACGAGAGCTTCAACTGGCAATAGCGGAACAGTGGGTTTTTTAAGGTGAGAGCAAGGAAACAATAGGAAAAAAACTGATTGGATAATATCAGATTACTTTAGGTTACTTTTTTGTAAGCATTAGAGCAGAGGGGGCTTATTACGCTGACGCACATAGACTGGAATCTCTTGTTTTCAGGAAAATCTGGTCTGTTTTGGGATCTATCTGCTTCCTTAAAGTTTCAGTTTGATAATGTGGCATTCAGCACGAGTGACTCCGTTTTGGTCTGGTTTGGTCTGGTCTGTTGGGGCCTAGTGCAGGAGCTCAGTCCAAAGCAATGGGCTCCCATAATTTTTGTTTAACAGGTGAAATAAGGAAGTATTCTGATTACTCTTTTTTCCTCCTCTAGGGATGAATAAAACTGAGAAATACATCAAGAGTGTGACATCAGACTGAAGAACTTTTCAGCAGTATCTGTTAGCCTTTGGAAATTTGGTGAGAAGAAATAGTCATGATTCAATATCTTGCTTACATAGAAGGCTCCAGTTCAGACTTGGATCTTGCCCCATCTGATTTCTTACGATGTATTCAAATACTCCAGATATTGCTCTGAGTTTTTGCTGTTTCTCAACTGGCCTTCTGCCTTCAACTGGCCTTCAAAAGTGTTTTAGCTCCCAGTAGGGCAGTTTAACCACTTTCTCCCCTGTTACTTCCAGATCTGTATATCTCTTTAGCTTGCTCTCAGTTTGTCTGACTGATCTATTTCCTTACCAAGTTGCTCTGGCTTCCCCACTCGTTCCTGTGTTTTGAAAAGAATAAATTAAAACTGCATTCCAATAAAAATTTATATGCATGTGTATTTAGTCCTTCATTTATTCAGTGCATATTTTTTGAGCGTTGAAATGTGCTAGACACAGTTCCAGGTTCCGAAAACACAAAGAGCCATTTGCTGTGGCCTAACCCTTAAGATGCAAGATAACAGAAATGTAAACTTAGAATTCACAATACAGCCATGTATATGTTAGAATGAAACTGAGACGAAATGTTTTAGGAACAGAGGGGAAAAAGCAGGGGTTCACAGAGGAGATGATGCAGTGACTACATTAGGCAAAGGAAAGAAAACAACCCAAAAAACAAGAGAGAAAGAAGGCGAAAATGAGAATCCCTAGTCCAAGATATTTTTAGTTGAGCCATAGACAATCACTTCCGGGAAAAAGTATTGAGAAGATGTATTGGGTAGATGAAATGCCTAATGAGACCATAAATGAGGACAATTGCTTCTTATAGTGTATGAGAAGATAATTTTTATCAGATAATGAAATTGTTTTCAGTCTTCAGAATGAAAATGAATCCCTTGCTAATGCAGATCATGCTAATAAAGGGAGTGAGAGAGATCGTGGGAATTACACGAGCCTCATGGTAGGCAGAAACCATCCTAAATAGGGTAGAAAAAAAAGAAAGATAATGAAGTAATCAAAATAATTGCTTGATAGGGAATGTGAAATATCTGCAATGTTAAATTATAAATATACATTTTCAAGAAAAATGAAGTGACCTTAAGGAACCGATTAGAAACCCAAACTCATGCTGGGTAGAAGCAATGCTTTTCATTAACAAAGCTGAGGAGTAATTAAATCTGGGGAAGCTCTTTGAAATCCACAAGTGCAAGTTATATTAAAATACAATACAATGGGTATATTAGTATCATAATTAATGATTAGAATAGACTTCTTTATTAAATGTGTTCTGGCATAGTGCAAGTGACAGATGTGAAATGAAAAGGACAAAAATGTGTTACTGAAAACCAAAATTGACTTTAGCAGCATCTGCCTTCAAAAGTGTGTGTGTTGGTGGGGCGGAGAGGATGATTTACCTAGTTGGTATATTCTTATAAAATAAATATATTCTTCCCTTTCTCCTTAAGATTGCCTACAGACCCATCCCAAGCGTGATGGACAGCACCGTGCATCCTCACCAACCTCTCTAGGAAACTTGGGAGAGGGGTGGAGAGGATGGTTTATTGAATATTTTTGTGTTATCTCTGAATCTTTTGCTTCAGCTGAATGATTTCAGAGACTGGTAACAGGGAGAGGAGAAAGGGGCTGAAATTGCAAAACCTCTAACAGTTCTTAGTGTTGCTCAAGGGTAAAGCTTTGGAGAAAATGGTCCATTGTTGACAGGCCACTTAAGTGTAGGGAAATGGAAGGCAGAAGCAAGTAGGAGCTGGTGGTCTAAATTGTTTTACAGAACAAGGAAAGGGGAAATTCACTTCTTGGGGAAACGAAAGGAGAGGATAAATGGGAAAAGGAAGAGCCTGGAGGAGAAAAGGGTGAGAAACAACAGAGAAACATAAAGTCCCGTTCTCTGCTACACAGATGCCTTTTGTGAGAGACAGAAATAAATGGGGAAATCAAGGAAAGGTGGTTGATCCACATCAGGGGTGAGTCAGGGAAGAGCCTGAATGAGGGAAGATGATCCATAAACTGAACTGATTCAGAGCCACAGGAGCTCTGAGACCAAGGCGATATAAAAATCCTAAACCACATTCCAATACCAGCATGCCAGAATCACACAGGGTGTGTGGTAGGCAGAAACCAAGCTGCATAGTCTGGGGGGAGGGCAGGTGACAGGAATTCTGCTGTGTTCTGAATGGAATTACAGCCATGCTTACTCTTTAGTTATGGGTAACTCACCTAATATTGCATACCAAAATATGATTTTTAATAATAGCTTGGCTGTTACCTTGAGTGTGATGTGAAGATTTTAAATTTGAGTTCAGTTTATGCTGCACAAACTTCAGACCATTTAGAGACGCTGCTTTCAGTCACATTTAAAAGACACTGTAAATTCTATATCTTGTAATACCTTACCAAAATTCTACAACTTCAAAAAATTCTGTTCTGAAGATCTTTGCAGAAAACAGGAATAGCCACATATTTAATTTTTTAAATTTGTTTTTTTTAAATGCAATAAAGTTATTTTCTGACAACTAGAATGGAAATTTGCATAGGTGATTTTACTTGTTTAAATATTTTATTTTTCCTCATAGTTCCCCTGTCTCTCAAATCCTCCAAATGGCATGGTTTATAACCTGCTGTTTAACTCCAGCCGTTGCCTTTGGACAAGCTCTGTTGAATGTCCTTTTCCCTCACTGGGATCCCCATGCTGTTTTCTAGTCACTTTCAATATATGAACGTGCCCCATTTTGGGAGTTGAAATTCACTTCCAAGTATTACGAAGTCCAGTCCAGTATAAATTAAAATCTCAATCTTACATCCAATTCAAAGATTTTTCTCTCCTTGCCCTCTAAATAGCCCTGCACTCTGCATTGAAAAAGAGGGCAGGGTCTTTTTTTTCAACTCTTCTCATCATTATATCCTGCTGCTTCTAGATGCTTCTATCGTCCTGTATTTGTGAGGTCCAGGAGGAAGGATGGCAAGATAAAGGCAAAGTCTTTTACATGTGACTTGTGCCCTTATAACTTGTTTATGCCCTTCGAGTGGCAGGCCCCCAAATGTGGATCCCTCAGATGCCCTCACCCTGGCCTGCCCCCATACCCAGGCACTCACCAAACAATGACCCTGGTGAGCCAGGGAGAATCTATAGGTCCATTGAAGGCTGTACTGGGACTTTGGCATGTTTCCTGATATAGACAGCACTCTTTCAGGTGACCTCTTGCAATCCCCCTGCAGCTTCTGGATTCCTACCCTGTGACATACCCACATCCTCCTACTGTGGAGTCCCCTAGCTTGGGAAGGCTGCCCTTTTGAGTGGGATTCCTTCAAGATGCATGAAAAAAGTCTGTGTACATTAAAGCATCAGAAAGCAAAGGTGTCACTATCTCAACCACCCATGTGGACAATCTGTGGTTGCTTGAGATCACCATTGTTCTTGACTTTGATTTTATCTGATACCAATAAGCAATCATTTTCTTTCACTTATTCACACGTAAGTAAAAAATATGACACATCATTAATACAGTAAGAAAATAACGTGTTCAGGATAACTAAGCATCATAATAGCACCACCAGAATACCTGTACCAGTTGTTAAACAACAGAAACAATAAACAACAGCAAGTTTTGAGTCTGTACCTACAATGCTGTGTTTTGATAAAAAGGTTACCATTCACTGTATTACTTTTTTTAGGTAAGAAGAAGCATCAGATGCAGCCGAGAGACCAGGAAGTGGGTCCCTTAGGGATGGGGAGGTATTCTGGTGGGTGGCTTCTTAAAATGCTTCCTCCAGAGTCATCTGCCCTGTTAACAACAGTTGTTGTCTTAGAAGTCTCTCTTTTATTTTATATACTGATGTGATTTCTTGTTCTGTTATGAATGCATCTGCTCTCTTCTTTCAATGAGCCCATCGCACATTTTCTCCATGTTGTCTACAGGTACCTCTTCTGCAGTGTTAATAATGTTGTCTTTATTGTCACTATTATCACGATCAACTTGATTCAGAAGCATGAATAAACAGCTAGACCCTCATTACTGATCCTAAAAACTTCTTCAATATCCACTTCTTCCAGCTTACTGATGGGACCTGAAGGTGTATTTTTTGCATATGTAAGGTCAGACATTATTTTTTTTCTCCCTTGACATACTGAATCCTTCAAACTCACCACCTTGTTCATCATCATCACTGAACATAGTCCTGGGTCACAGGCTGTGCCAGCCATGCACAACCATGTCTGCTCACTGTGTTCCAAGCATTGACAGCAGCTTATATGGCACTCTTCATGCTAAACTCCTTTTGAAAACCTTCCGTACCCACGCCTCTGTTTACTGCCACTAGCGTGCCATTCAAGAAAGTGTTTTTATATATACTCTTCATTGGTCTAAGGATACCCTGGTAACATGGGTGAATTAATTAAGTCAACTTTGGGGGCCGGCCCATGGCTCACTTGGGTGAGCGTGGTGCTGACTACACCAAGTCAAGGGTTAAGATCCACTTACTGGTCATCTTCTTAAAAAAACAAACAACAAAATACAAAAACTTTGGGAAAAGTATGTGGCATAAACATTTTTGATGAGAATTTCAGCTGGAGGATGAGGAGAACAGTTGTTAAGGAATAACAAAATCTTGCAGTCGTCATTCAGTCCAACTGCCCCGCAGTGAACAAGAGCCACTGGTACAAACTGCTTGTGAAACCAATCAAAAAAGATGTCTCTGGTGATCCATGCCTTTTTGTTAGCATAATTATAAACTGAAAAGAAATTCCCTCTTTGAAAACGGTGAGGATGCAAGCTTTTGCCTATCACGGTAAGTTCACACTTATTTGTGCCTGCTGCGTTAGCACGTCCCAGCACAGTTATCCTGTCACTGGCATCTTTAATTACAATAGGCTGTCTTATCAGCTGTAGTCAGTGTCTTTCTGGAGGAATAATGGCAAAACAGTGATGTTTCATTAGCATCATCTGGCGTCAAATTTTCATCAGCTATGACCTTGGCAAACTTGTCAATACATTTCTTTGCTACTTCATGATCAGCAGATGCTTTACCAACACACATCTTTAAAAAGTTAATGCTGTGACTTTTCTTAGGTTTTTTTCAACCAGCCTGTTGAATATTCACAGCTCCCTTCAATTCTCAGTTCATCGTGACAGATCTTTGCTTGTTTCATGACCAGTATGCCATTAAATGTCATGTGTTCATTGCAACATTGATGGGTCCGCTCTTCTCATACATGATCATGATCTTCGTTTTTAGCTTTATGCAGTGTTTTTCTTTTTTAAATTAGCTTCTGCTCATCACTTTTAGCACAGAACTTCAACAGTTTATCCTTCTGTTTCTTCAGGTCACATATGGTGGTCATTTCAACACTACATTCTTCTGTAAGACGTTCCACACTTATATGATG